GAGCGGAGCGGGTGGGGAGAGCGCAGCCCCCCGGCACGGCCCCGGGCTGTTCCTGCTGCCGGCCCCGCTCTGCCCGGGCCGAGCCGCCGCAACGAGAGCCAGCTCCAGTTCGCCCTTCGCTGGGCAGGAGCTTACATAGAGGAAAAGACACGGTTTCGATTAGTTTTCTGAGAAACTGCAAGAAATCAGCGTGTCCCAGCAGATGTAAATGCGAGGTTTTGCCGTGTAGCAAGTTTTTAGTTAAAAAAAAAAAACCAACCAACCAAAAGTAGCACTGTATTAGACTTGCTTACCTTTGTGTTTTTTTGTCCATATTTGTCTCTGTACAGCAAAAAGTGACAGTGGAGGTACTGGATCACTTGGAACACCTGGCCTTGGTTGATTTCCGTGATTCAGAGGGCGTAGAGCGGCTGCAGAAAGCAATCCAGTTCGCTGATCAGCTTCATGAAGTAAACACCGATGGGGTAGAACCGATGGATTCAGTCCTGGAGGACAGGTAATAAATCACAGCAGCATCCTTTTATCTGTTAATATATCACACTATTTGCTTTTTTAACTTTTGTTTTTTTAAACCCTGGGAATCACCCTGGCTATGCAAAATCTTACTGTGGCTTTGTGTGGAAGGAAGATGTCACTAACACCCATGATCTTTATGCATAAGCATAGCAAAGATGAACTCCAATTCCTTTGTGTATCTTGCTTCTCATGAATGATGGGCACACGCTGCTCCCCAAATACCTCATAGTGGCATTTTTAGTTGCTTAAAAATGTTCCAATACTTGTCTTACTGCTTTCTTAAGACCAAAACCGGGTTTAGAGATAAGCCACACTTTCTTCTTCATATTCATAGAATATCTTAAAGACAGGCTAGTAATCTTTGTGCTTCAGGTGTCTGTATCTCAGAGAAGATGATGTTACAGAAGGCAACTGCACAGAAGAGTTGCTGAAAAATGCCAGAGAGAAAGTAGAAGAATACTTTGTAGCTCCACCAGGTATTGTCTTGCTTATAAAAACTTCTTAATCTTGCTTGAATCAACCTGAGGAATATAACCTGCCATTGCTACATTTACTTTCAGAAATACTAGCTAGTAATAAGTACTAAAATAAATAACTGTAGCCATCTGTATAAAACAGTCTGCACTCTATTGGTCCAAAAGCAGCACAGAAGCTAATCTTACTCCAAAGTTACTGCATACGTTGAGTGATTATTTACAGGAAGTCAGACAGGATTTACTTTCCTTACTTGCTCAGGAAATTTAAGCTGCCTGTACATACTTGGGATAAACTGGAGAAGCACCCTGAAGGTAACTTACAGCTAGTCTCACACACCTTTCTTTTTGTTTTTTATCAGGTAACATCCCTTTACCAAAGCTAGAAGAACGAGAGACTTTTCTGAAGGGCTCTTAGCAGAAGTCCAGAAACCAAGTGCCATTTCAGTATTTTACTTGGGAAAACTTAAGTTTTGTGCAGTCACAGCTGAAATAGCCTGCCATGTATTTTGATCAGAAGAGCACTTGCAAGATAATTTACAGAGGAAGGAAGGTGTAAAAAGTTTAGTAGTACTACTGAAATATTCACGCTGGAAGGCAGCATGACAGATGACCTTAGTGCTTTTATTTAGCAAAGTGAATTTTATGTTATTCTTTAAGATACTGAATGGCTTAAAGACTTTTTTAACAAAGACCCCGTTAAAAGGTAATGATTAAAACCCCCAGACCACTGTGTTTCTCCTCAACAAGTTTGTCAGGAAAACAAGAGGAGTTGGAAGGCTGTATTTGCCTATTTCTCATCTTCAGATCGACTCTGGCTCTGACCTGCCAGAAGTAACAAAGTCTGATGTGGAGGAGGAGTCCGTAACATTGCTGAGTATCTCTCTGACATACAGACAGAACTCAGATTTTCATTATGGAAGAAAAGGCACTTTGAGAAGACGATTCACTCAGATGTTTTTCTTCTACTGAATATTTCCATTTGATCTCTGTGCTCCATGTCTGTATGGGTTACCTTCTGTTTCCCACTTCATGTTTTTATTCTCACAATACAACTGGAGTTGTACATAATTTGAGAAAGTACTTTTCAAGTGCAGAAATAGCTGCTCTAAAATAAAAAATATTTGCCACAAGTATTTCTGTCCACCAGCTGTGCACCTATAGTGGCACCAGCAATATTTTCTGGATTAAACTTTTTCCACTTTGAAATACTGCAGTTGTTTGCATAATTTAAAACATCTTGTGTGGCTAAGCTTGTTGTAAATAAAGAATGTAATTACTTGTGAATTTGGTATTTTTGTTTTGTTGTCACAGTGAATTAAATGTATGCTGTCACCTTTATTTTTTGTTGGAACTGGTTTTAGAAATACAAGTACTGTGGTACTTTTCAGTGCTGCAGGCAGACATTGTTAGCAGGAAGCTTGCAACAGCTTTACTAGAAGAAGCAGTGCGATTAGCAGATACTACTCTGGATACAGCTTGACCTTTAATCTGTTTCTGGCTCTACAAACTCCTGAAAGTATCACCTCAGTATCACCATTTTACTATGTTACTTGTTATAAGGATACTGAGCCTTTACTTTAGATCTCAGAGCTGGAGAAACCACTCCCCAGACTGTTATAATATCCTAGAAGTAAAATATCTTTGAGCACACAGCTCTAAATGCTTTTCTTGCTGCTCAGTTGTGGTTTTGGCTTAGAAAGTTTCCATCTTGAGGGAAACAACAGACAGAATTAGTGCAGGGATACTTCTGTTCCTTTGAAAGATGGTGTTGAAAAGTATTAACTGTTGAGCTCAGCCTGTTACCCTTAAGTAATAGTCATGTACCGGTACCTCAAATCCTGCAAGGAAATGACTGGGGTAAGCACCTCAGCCATCAGCTCCCAGGTGGGCTGTTTGTCATAGAAGCTCTGCCACAGTAAAGGAGTGGTTGCAAAGAAGTAGCAGAGCTCCAAGAACAAAAGGAGCCCCCTGGACTCTGCCTTGCTGGCTCAGAGGCCAGGAAACCATCGCAGGAAGAGGTGTGGTACAGCGCAAATGGGGAAGACTGCTCTAGCAAACAACATTCATTGTCCCTGTCTTGTCCTGGCAGCGAATGCTGAGGCTTCCTCACATAACTGCCAACAGGCAGAGGCAAAATAAGCCAAGGCTCATTGGGAGAAACTAGAGACCTGCTCAAAGAAGAATACTGCAGCAAACTAGAACAAAATAGTCCAGGCCAGTCACTTTCAGGCCATAAAGAATGCAGAAAAAGCTGAGAAACTTTTCTTCCTGCATGGGGCCCTGTCCACATACAGATTTAAGAATCCATAATCATTTATTCCAATTGTACCTCTGTGCATTAGAAGGGATCATGACATGCTAAGCCACAGTGGAATTCTCTTCGGAAGTGCTAGAAAAGACCCCTGATTTTATTGTAATAGGATACTACTAATCACCAGTTCTGAGTCATATCTTAAGCTCCGGAGAGCCTGATAGGAGAAGTATGCTTCTCCATGACTGCAGGCACATGCTTCCCTTGAGGGCAGAAACTCACCTCATGGGGTGGTAACTTTATGTCATCCAGCTTACACAGTGCTTGTTCTATATCTTTTTGCCAAGAAAAGCTGTTACTCCCATCCCATCTTTCTGTACATCTGCATAATAAACACCAGCTTGGTGCATGTGTCCCTTCAGGTCCTGGCAACTGTCTGATAGAGGAAGTCCTGAGCATGGCCATAATCATTATTTCTCCTATGAACTGCATCTTCCACACCCCTGCAAACAACAGGTAATATAAATGAGAGATTAATGATACATGTGTTGTTTCTTAACATCTCAAAAGTCCACCAAGCATATTATAAGTATCATAATTTGAAAAACACTGAAAAAATTACTGAAGAGTTTGAATAGTACTGGTACTAGGTTCACCTACTAGTGGTTTGCTCTTAATATCATGTGTACAAACTGCTTTGACAAGCTCCCTCTTGGGCTATTCATTCATTATGTGCCATGTATTTAATGGAAAACCTAGGCTGAGTGAAAAGGATTACAGCAGTCTTTCACAGCTACTGGGTAGGATCCACTGTCACTCACTACCCTCAAAGGTTGTGTGTTTGGTAAGCTTGGAGCTGATTTTTTTTCCATATTTCTCTGGCAGGAAGTGAGACCAAACACTTGTTCCACTCTTACTTGTGGGGTTACTTCATTATTTGTTTAAGCTTCCATAATATACATACATATGTATACATAGGTACATATATATATATATGCATAAAATATGTAATTATTACAATACTTGAATTCTTTCGAGGGTGTTGAATTAAAGTCTCTATTTAACCCCACTAATCGAGTTCTCTGCAAAGCTGTAACACTGTATTAGTGTTTTAGTCTCAGGCTTTTCAAGATTCAGACCCTGCAAATGCTGAAGTTTTACAAATACACAATCTCAGCCTAAAAGTAATTTATGATGCATGTATAAATCATGACATAGAAAGACCTCAAGTCATTATACAACAAACATGTTAGCAGAGAATTCCCAGCTGGTGAAATCCCCACTTGTTCTATCCATTTTGGCCTCCTTTGACCATCAGAGAGAATAGGGACAATGTTATTTACATAGAAAAAGGAAGAGGAATTTGAGAGTGAACTGCATGGCTGTAGGAGCTTCCAACCCAATATATCGTCATGTAACACTTCAAAAGCAACCACCAAACCAACAATTTGGACAAAAATGATCCCACATTCCCAGTGCAGCACAGGCTAAGCTTAAAACTTCCAGTTCACTGCTGCTCCTTTACCCACACACTCCAGTGGGAGAGCAGACTGCCTGATTGTTCCCTGCAGCCCAAACTGCATTTAAAGTGGAAAACACACATTTCCTTAATGAAGGGGTTTGTTGCAATTTCACCACAGCCCTGACTCAGACACATGCAACCACCAAAGCAGAAATCCTGGCAAAAGCCAGATGAGCTGCCTATGGGGCAAAATATATTAGTGCCTCAGCCTCCCTCGGCATGTCTGATGTGGTGGGTGCTGCACCCCACGGGATGGCACAAAGCTCCGCTGGGCCCTGGCTGCGCCCTGAGGTGGGGACAAGACGCCCTTCATAGTGCCAGTTCACCTGCTTTCACCACAGGTCCTCGATGCACAAGTGGGTCTGGATCTGGTTCAGATCTTTATGGCATTCTGGCCACAATGCAATTTATAAACACTGCCAAGTGAGTAACTATAGTTAAGGACTCGTGTAATAAAATCACTACCTGTAAAATCCTTCTAACTGCAGTGAGACAAACATATATTTGTGAAATAACTCATCTTTTCTCTGTGGTCAATAGATATGGCAAAAAAGAGAAAAAAAGTTGGTTAAACAAAACAACAAAAGAAGGCCAGATTCCGAGATGATGCAGATGTATCTAGTTTCCCTGGAGATAATTTGACTTACATCTGCTAAGGTTTTTCTACTACTATGTAGATCTGTAACATATAAAACTGAATTAGAATACCTAACATATAGATTCAGGTTTACAGAGAAAATGTCAAGGTGGAGGTTTCTTCAGTTTTATGGAAAAAAGAAAATGGAAGTTATTTTATTGCTAATAATGATTATTTTATGTTTTGATAGAAACCAGGAGCTGGAGGAAAAATCTGTATTTGATATAGTGATACAGTATGCAACACAGCAAAAAAAGGCCTCAACTGAAAAGTGCTTACAGTCTAACCTCCATCTGCAAGAGGAATCTCATGATATGCCTTATCCATTACCCAATTTTCCTCAGCACCTCATCTACTCCAGCTATCATCTCCTACATATATTTGTTCTGCCTTCCCCTGCAGCTCTGTCCTGAGGGAAACTATACTTTTATATTCTTGATTAACAAGTAAGGCTCTAATGTTTCTGTTTAAAGCTGTATATCTCAGGCTTTAAAGCTTCGCATTAACGATGTGTATCTCACCCACACTGACATTTCCTGCAGTCGTCATCACATCTGTTCTTTCAGCTAACCATTACTTAATAAATGCATAGAAATTTGCCTGCAGCTACCAAACGCAGCCACCTCCTTAGAGATTCATGAATGTTTCTGAAGTCCACGGTAAGCACTGGGAAGATTGTTAAATGTTTCCGTTCTGTCAGCACAAAACTGTTTAGTACTCAAAGCACCATTGCTAGTGCTGCAGATACTAAACAGTTCTGTAAATTAAAAGTGCTGTGGCCCCCAGACTATTCAAAGATTCTTCAAAGAGCTTGCAAAAGCAAAAGATTCCTTGTAGTTATGCGCTTTTGCTATGAATGACACTGAGCAGGTAACTATAATATACTAATATGAGAAATATATGCATTTCAAATGAGGCGGATGACTGCTCTTGAGTTTTTTTTTTTGTTTCTACAAGGAAATAGCAGTCCCACCTACCAGTATTTGAAAATCTCTTTCAAGTCATCCTGTGCTGTTTGCTGTAGACATGGTTCAGACGACTGTTATTAACGGATCACCAGCTATGGAAGACTCAACAGAAACTTTCTAGCTGCTGACAGGAGTATGAGCAAAAGTGTCCCAGGGAGAGTGAAACTAACAAACCAGAGCAGGACCATCTCCCAAAACATCTTGCTTCGTTTAAAACAAAAAACCCCAAAATGACACCTCCCTCCAAAAAGTAATGAGTTGCAGAAATATTGAGGTCTGCAAAAGATGCTTTAAATGAGACTTAAGAAGTCTGATGAAATCAGTTCACTAAAAGAATAAAGTGTAGCGCTGACTTGATCACATTCAGTAAACATGGTAAAAGATTTCTATCAGAGGTCACTTAGTCTGAAAGACAAAGATAAATTGAAAATGGACACGTGAATAGGCAAGATGATCAAGTGCCATTTTGAAACTCCTTCCTGAAGCACGGGTGGGCTTTCCTCTCAGTAAAGACCATCTTACCGAAAGAGCTGTCCCAGATCAAAGAGAAACAAGGGCCTGTTGCAGAGATTACTGGGTTAAATTCGGCATCTCTGTGATCTGAGTTGGGGTAAGTAATAAAATGGCCTTTGGAGTCCACATATTAACCACGGAGAGGTGTTTTACCCAAACTGGTGGACACAGTAAAATGCACTGGAGACCGAGCGTCCTTTCAGAAACCCAGGGTCACTAGACGATGCCAGGGATGAGCAGCACGGGAGCCAGGACTGGAGGGTTCCACACACTGCTGAAATCTACACTGACACCCTCCACCGGACGTGCCGGCCCCGCGCCCCGGTCCCTCGCCCGCGGCCTGCGGGGGGAAGCGGCGCCGCCCCACGGACTCGCCCCGCCCCCTGCGCGTCGACCGCCAACCATTGGCCAATGGCGCCCGTCCCCCGAGCGCTCATTGGCCACCGGCCGGCGCTCGCGTAGCGTTTTACTCTTGCGTTTTCTTTCAGACCGGCATGCCTTGCGCCCGCGTCCGTTCCCACAGCGACGGCGGCCGCCGCGCCGGGCTGGGCGGGGCGAGT